TTTTTTTTTTTTTTTTTTTGTACCGGGAATCAAACTCGGGACCTTGCGCTTATGAGGCAGGCAGTGACACCACTGAGCTGAGTCCCTGGCCCCTTGTTTTGGTTTTTTGAGCTGGGGTCTCACCATGTAGCCTAGGTTGGCTTCGAACTCACAATCCTCCCGCCTCAGCCTGACAGCAGTCGCCGGCGGTGGGCCGGCAGGGAAGCTCCCAGCATCCAGCCATGCTCACCAACTGGGGACAGCAACAGTGCAACCTCACGGCTGGGTTGAATGGTGCGGCTGTGATGGCTGGATGGGGAAACTGAGGCCCGGAGGAGCGGCTGAACCCAAGGCTTCGTGGCTACCCTTCAGGCCTGTGACGGGGATGGGAGACGAGACCTTTGGGGGTCCTAACAACAGCCACAGCCACCTGTCCTGGCCCGCATCGGAGTCCAAGCCAGTGAGTGGGAAGACCGGTTTATTGAGCAGCCTTTCTGGGGCGCCATCCCGGGCCTACGCCACCGAGCCAGCAGTCCTCTGCCCCTTGGGCTGTTGTGTCCGTCCACGGATTCCACAGGGGATGCTCAGGCTTGGCCCTGGGCGGGTTTCGGGGTCCGGGGCAGCTCCCTCCCACGGCCTGCCCGGTCGGCTTCCTGGCGCCGCTGCAGTGCCTGCCCCACCTTCTCCTTGAAGCGCCGGTTTCTCTGCTTGATCTTGGCCAGCTCGGCCCTGCGCTTGGCCTCCAGGTCGGGGTCCTACGGGGCGGGCGGGGTGCTGAGTGGACGTCTTGGGCCCAGGACCACGCGGCCCACCCCGGCTGGCCAGCGCTCACCTTCCCCTCCAGGATGAGCTGCTTCCGCTTGTTGGTCTCCTTCTTCTCGTCGAAGCGGGCGGCCTCCAGTCTCTAGAGGACAGGAGAGCCCGTCACGGGCCGGGCTCCAGGGGACCACGCAGCCCTGAGGCCTGCTGTGGGCTCCCCGGACAGCACTTACGATCTCGCACTCCCTGCGGACCACGTTGACCTGTGTGAGGATCTGCAGCACTGCGGCCTCCTCCACCGGCAGCTCCTCCAGCTGCTTCTCTGCGGGGACAGGGTGGGGACACGGGGACATGCTCAGCCGAGTCCTGAGGGCCCTGTGAGGTGGGTGTGCAAGGCCCGGGGTCGCCCTGCTGTGGGCTGGGGGTACTGGCCGACTGCTGGCTGTTCGGTTTCTTCATGCTGTGTTCCATCCCCAGCCCTTTTTACTCTTGGACACAGCCTTTCTAAGTTGCCCAGGTTGGGCTTGAACTTGCAATCCCCCTGCCTCAGCTTCCTAGACAGCTGGGATTACAGGTGTGCGCCACCATGCCTGGGTTTTTATCTTGAGGGATTAGCAAAACCGCGTTGGCCTGAGGATGTAATTGGCGTTTGGTATTGTGGGTTCTGCACCTATGGTTTTGACTAATCATGGAATGCAAATATTAAAAAGAGACAAATGTACCCAAGCCACATCCCTACCAAACACATAGGCTCTTTCTGCTTTTCTTCCGGCAGTGCTGGGGCGGGGCCCAGGCTGCAAGCACAGCAGGCAAGGCTCACCGCGAAGCCACCCCGGCCACTGGCCCTCATCCCCATCCCCCAAGGACATCACGGGACAGTTCCTCTCCCTGTGCCCCATCTCAACCTTGGGTGACAGATGTCTGCGGGCAGAAGGGCCCGGCTTCTAGGCAAGCGCCACCCCGACTGGCAGGTGGGACTCGCACGTCTAGGATGTGGGGTCCACAGGGCCTCTTGTTGGAGCCCACTCCCTGTGGAACCAGGGCTGACTGCTCATTTCCTGGCACTGGTGTTCTTTTTTTTTGTTGTTTTTTTGAGACAGGGTCTCACTATGTAGTTGAGACTGACCTGGAACTCACTGTGTAGCCCAGGCTGGTCTCGAACTCACAGCGATCCTCCTGCCTCAGCCTCCCGAGTGCTGGGATGACAGGTGTGCGCCACCACGCCCAGTAACTGGTGTTCTTTAGTTACAGCAAGGCACAGTGGTGCGGGCCTGCAGGCCCTGTGATGTGGGAGGCTGAAGAGGAGGATCGCCTGAGCCTTAAGATTAAGAGCTGACCTGGGGATCACAGCACGATCCCTTCCCAAATAATAAACCAGAAAGCAGTGGCAGTTTCTGACAGAAGCCGCTGCAGGGGTCCACACACACCCCTGCCCCAGCCATCACGATACGTGGTCTCAGGACCATGTCTCTCCCGGGAGACGTGGCCCCAAGCGGAGGTCCTGGGTCCATAACTGCACCAGAGACACGCGCAGGTGGCCCCCGAGGGCGCCGCCCCCACTCACTGATCTGCTCTTCAATGGTGTGCACCAGGTGGATGTCGTACTGCGTCACCAGTGTGATGGCCTGGCCCTGCCGCCCTGTGGGGACACAGGGATACATGATCACAGGACCTGGGGCTTGGCAGACAAGGGGCCTATGACTGGACAATGTGGCCAGGTGCTGTGGGGCACTGGGATGAGGCTGCTCTGCTGCCAGCTGGGCCTACTGCACATGCATGTGCATACATGTAGGACGTGGCTGCTTTCCTTTTTTGGTTGTTCTTGTTTTTTTGAGACAGGGTCTTAGTATGTAGTTGAGACTGACCTGGAACTATGTAGCCTAGGCTGGTCTCGAACTCACAGCGATCCTCCTGCCTTAGCCTCCGAGTGCTGGGATTACAGACGTGCGCCACCACGCTGCTTTCCCTTTTTGGCTTGGCTGCCAGGAAGCCAAGGCTAAGTGATATCAGACAGGAGCAGAGGGGCCTCAGCCTGGATCTCTGCACCTGCCCCACACTTCTATGGCAGTCACCACGACTTGGTAACCCTCAGGTGACAAGGCCCATGAGGTGGCTGTCACCAGTCCAAGGCCACAAGGGGCAGGATGGAAGGGTGGGGTGTGGCTCGGCAGCGCCCACCTCGGCCTTTGCTGTCTTGGGGTCGCTGGCTGTGCCGGGCAAGCGCTCACCGCCTCCCCTCTGAAGGGAGGGGTCATGGCTCACCTGCACGGGCTGTGCGGCCGACCCGGTGGATGTAGATCTTGGGAAGGCCGGGGGTGTTGTGGTTGATGACCACCTGCACTGTGGGGATGTCCAGGCCCCTGCAGGCAGAGGCTGCTCAGTGGAGACTCAGCTGTGACGTGGGGCTGTCTGACCCGTGCCCAAGCGCCACCCCCGTCCATCTTTGGGGCCTTGGCGGCCACAGGGAACAGAGCTTGGCCTGGGTGCTCACCGTGAGGCCACATCTGTGGCAATTAGGATCCGGTAGATGCTGGACTTGAACTTGGCCAGGGCGGCGAAGCGCTCTTTCTGTGCCGGGCCAGGAGGGTGTCAGGTTCATATCTGAAGTGTCCCCAAGCCGTGTGCGGCAGGGAACGGGATCAGGGGCACTGTTCATCTACAGCTCGGTGTGCGGTGGGCAGCTGGTGCCGGCTGCGGGGACCATCGGTGCTGCAGCCTGGCAGGGTGTTCCTGTCCCGTTCCTCCCTTCTCCATTTCCTGGCCACCACAGTGCGAGTAGCTCCCCACTCAGGACCCTCTGCTGAGCTGGCTGCCCAGGGACTGTGTCCCCTCAGCCTGAGCCAAAATGAACCTCTCTCCCTCGACCCCATGGGTGTCAGTGTCCTGTCCCAGTGATGGAAAAGCGACTCCTGAGACAGTCCCCGCCCCATGGCTTAATCTAGTGAAGCACGGGGCCTGGATGGCGACAGCCCAGCAGGGATGCTGAGACGAGACATCTGCTGTGATCAGGGCATTGGGAGGCTGAGGCAGGGGGATCGCACCCTCCAGCCCAACCCAAAAGCCTGTGTCAAAGAGCCAAAGGACAGCACCAAAGCACACAGCCCGACAGACACGGGGTCTGTGCTGGGCACCGCACCCTCACCTGCTTCATCATGGAGTGCAGGGCCACCGCGGGGAAGCTGAACTTGCGGAGCATCATACACAGGATCTGGCAGGTCCTGGGGACAGAGGTGACCGCTGACCCCTCCTGCCCCCAAGACGCCGAGCAGGGGCCCCTGTGCAGCTTAGAAATACGCGTCCACGCCAGTCATCTCAGCACTCAGGAAGCTGAGGCAGGAGAACCCTTGCAAGTCTGAGGGCAGCCTGGCACTATGTAGTGAGACCTTGCCCCAAATGACCCAAGAAGAGAGGAAACGAGGAATGTGGGCACCAGAAGTCGGGCTGTCTGCTCTGCTGCTCCTTCCTCAGACTGAAGTCACAACCCCACCCGGTGGCCGGGCTCCGTGGTAGGGCCCATGCGCAGCGAGCTCGAGGCCCTGGGTTCCTTCCCCAGCACCCAAAACCCAGAACAAAACTGCCCCGGGGCAGGGTGGAGCTCAGCAGTAAAGGCTGAGCTTGGCATGCAGGGAACCCTAGGCTCCTCTCCTCTCTACCCTGACAGCCTCCCAATGCAGCTCAGGGGGCGCGTAGGCACAGGAGCGGCCCTCACTGGATCTTCACATTTCCCGGCCCGGGGCCCCGGAGGTGAACCCAGACCTCCGTGCAGGGCGGTGCACGCCGGGCCTCCGGTCCAGGCAGAGGCCAGCGCTCACTTGCACGTGTTGGTGAAGATGATGATGGACCAATCCTCGTGCTCGTCCTGGAAGCTCTGCACCAGGTGCACCAGGTAGGCGTCCTTCACCTTCTCGGGGACCAGCAGGTAGCGCTGGTCCAGCTGCTCCACAGTGCGCACCCTGGGGAAGGGGCAGGCAAGCCTCAGTTTCCCGTCTAGTCACCCGCGACCACCACCCTGCCAGCGCCAGGGGCCTCACGGAGCCTGCGCCTCCCAGAAGAAGGGCTGGTTGGTGGCCAGGCCCTGCAGCTCCCGGAGCGTGTCAGTGAGCGTGGCGCTGAACAGCAGCGTCTGCCTGTGCGCTGGCACGGCCGCCAGGATGGTTTCCAGGTCAGCCGTGAAGTCGGTGCAGCCTTGCTCCAGCAGCCGGTCCGCCTCATCCATCACCTGCGGCAGGGACAGGGCAGGGCTGGGAGGACCCTGCAGCCCCCAGCCTCACTCCCCACGGAGGACCTGCCCCGCCATCTTCCCCGGGACTGGCTTTGTTCTTGTTGTTCCCTGAACTGGCCTTGTCACTACTTCTAGCTCCTTGCTGGACAATCTGGGGGACCCGCACTTCCAGAATGGATGGTGGGGTGCCCCAGGCCCCTGCCCCGTGCTCACCAGGAAGCGGATCTTCTTGATGTGGAAGGTGTTGGAGCTGCGGAGGTGGTCAGCAAGGCGCCCCGGTGTGGCGATCACCACGTGTGGTTTCCGGGAGAGCTCCAGGGCCTGGGCCACCATGTCTGGGGAGGAGGGCAGGAGGGGAAGTTGTCTGGGGGCTCTGAGGCTTCGGGGTTCCCATGCCCAGGGCTGCCCCTGCCCGTACCCATGCCACCGACGATGATGCAGTCTTTCAGGCCTAGCGGCTTCCCCAGCACCCGGAACTGCTCTGCGATCTGGTAGGCCAGCTCCCTGTGGGGGGAGGGGAGCCGGTTGGGGCAGTGCTGTGCCTGCCTCCCAGTCCCAACTACATCCTGGGCTCCTCCCCGAGACCCAGCTGCCCCTCCACCCTCTCCTGTACACACCCTCAAAATCAGCGCTAACCCTCCGCCCGCCTTCGAGACCCTGCTCAAGCTGGCTGTACCACACCAGGCCCCTTTCTGGGCTCCGCCCTTCTGATGCTTTGCACAGGGTCCCTCTACCTAGAACATCTTTTGCTTTCCTGGCTGGAAGCCCGCTGGGAGCTCCAGTTTGGCCAGCACTCGCCCTGAGCACTATTCTGTTCATGCCTGCAAATACACAGCTGGTTCAAGAAAAAAGTGAACATAGAAGGAAAAAATGGAAACAAAGCTTTTGTATACAGGGAGAGAATGGGATACAATAAAATAAAAGGTATTTTAAAAAAACACACAGAAGCCAGGCATGGTGGCGCAAGCCTGTAATCCCAGCACTCGGGAGGCTGAGACAGGAGGATCGCTGTGAGTTCGAGACCAGCCTAGACTACATAGTGAGTTCCGGGTCAGTCTCAACTACATAGTGAGACCCTGTCTCAAAAAAAAAAAAAAGAAAAAAAACACACAGCCTAGGGGAGGGTGGGGAGCTCACCTGGTGGGTGTGAGGACCAGGCAGAAGATGCCATAGGGATCCTCTGACAGCTTCTGCAAGATGGGCAGGACAAATGCTGCTGTCTTGCCACTGCCTGTCTTGGCACAGCCCAAGCAATCCCGACCTGCGCAGAGGGCAAAGCCAAGTCAACACATGCCAGGCACAGACAGCCGGCCCCGTGGGCACAGTGTCCCCCCCGCCAACGGTGACTGGTCGACTGGTGCTGGGAATCCAGCCAGGACCTCATGTGTACCGGGCAAGCGCTCTACCAAGAGCCCTAGCCCACGACAGCCAACATTCACGGCTGCTCTGTACCCAGCCCCAGCCTACGCCTTTTCTGTTCTGGCACTGACAGCTTTCCACTGTAGGCAACGGCCACGTTCTAACAAGGAGAGAGAAGCTGTTATTCCCACTTGGTACAAGGGGAAGCGAGGCTGAGTGGCTCACCCAAGACACACGGCCGGTGGGCAGCAGGCTCTAGTGGAACTTACACACCGCTGGCCCCAGGTGCTGCTCAGCACCACCTGCTTTCCTAGAGCATCTGAACTTGGGGGGCCTAGAATTCCCCTCACTTCAGTCTGCACCCTATATCCCCGTCGATTAGCTCCTCTTTGTTAACTTGGTCCCTCAACTTGTCACATCCTAGGTTTCCTGTGGGCATCTCTTTAGAGACAAAACTCAGTCGAGCCAGGACAGCAAGGAGGAGCGCAGTCATAGGACCACGGACGGAGTCCTGGAGTTTCCAGCAATTCTGACAGCCACCGTTTCTATTTGTAAAGTGACCAGATCTGCCAGTTTTTCACAGTTCTATCGATGAGTCATTCAGCAAACTCTTTGAGATCGGGGTCTAAGAAAGTTTCAGAGATGATATCACTTGGAAGCGTACACATGGCGAGTCAGTCTTACGGACTAAACGTCAATACCGCTCAATCGGCCTCAGCGGCCCGGCTCGACCCCGAAGGTGCCCCTCGCCTCCTAGACCTGCCCGGACAAAGCCTAGGAGGAGGAAAAGGAGGCGAAAAGAGCAAAGACGCTTCTGGGGGAAACTCCCGGGCCACACTCACCTTCCAGAATGGCTGGAATGCAGCCGAGCTGCACGGGCGTGGGCTGTTTCAAGCCGAGCTGCCGACACTGTTCCACTAGCCATGACGATAGCCCAAGCTCCGCGAAGGCTGCCATTTTCTCAGGCAGTCTTGAGGACGTTGTCAGCGGTGCTTCCGGCGCGTATCTATGACGTTTGGAATTCCTTCCCATTTATTGGATCCACTTCCCATGTGGTTCTACCCACTTCAGCTCACTTGACCAATCGCAACTTTGACCGAGTCTCTTCGTACTTCCCCGAATTCCACACTCTTGCAGGACCAAATAAAACTGTAATTCCCGCGGCGTTTTGCGAGAAGCGCTTGCGTCTCCCGCCTTCTCACTCCCGTATAAGAGCCTCCCATTGGTTCATCCAATGAAGTGCGACATGTGTAAACTACATTTCCCGTAGTGCTCTGTGGTGGTGGGGCCTCTGCTTCCGGCCGACGTGTCTCTCCGGAAGTGCAGCAAGGCCGTAGAGACATGGCCCCTCCAGCCCCCGGTCCGGCACCCGGGGCCTCCGGGGAGGTGGACGAGTTGTTCGACGTGAAGAACGCCTTCTACATCGGCAGCTACCAGCAGTGTATCAACGAGGCTCAGCGGGTGAAGGTGCGGGCGCGCCGGGGCGGGGGAAGCTGGATGCGGGGAGGCTTCCTGTTGTCGGGGCTGTTGTTTTCTCTGCTTCTAAAACCCGCTCCTCTTCTCGCGTCCTCTTTTCCACGCACTTCGGCGTCAGTGAGGAATAATCATTTTCCCGAGACAAAACGCAAAGTAGTAACATTTTTGTTTTAGTAATAGAGTTGCTCCCTGGGCGTTCTGAACGGTATTTGAGCGAGGGAAATATTTATGTTGCCATAATAATTTAAACTTTTTATTTTCAAATGAGGTCTGCCAGTGTTGCTCGGGCTGGCCTTGAACTCCTGGGTCAAAGAGATCCTCCTGCCTCAGCCTCTCAGCCTCCCAAGTAACTGGTCACTGCCCTGGCTAACAGTGATTACGATCATTTGTCCCACCCCACCCTCAGTACCCATAAGGCAGGGATGTTTGCTTAACTTTATTTTCTGGTGAGAACACCAAGTTTTCAGTTTGAGTAATTGCTTTCCCGATGTTACTCTCTGGACTGTTTTGGTTATTTCTCCCAAAGCCCGTTCATCCATTTTAACAGACCCGCCCCCAAGTTTATTGGTACATTTAAAGCAAATAATAGTTACATTTATCATTGGGATCTTGTACCTTTATGTGATATGTCTTGGCTCTTGTTTTTTCCCGGTACCCCTGCCCTCCCTTCACCCCCTTCACCCTTCTCTATTTACAAAGTTAAGTGAGATTTGTATGGATTAGATACTTCATGCCTGCTGAGCTTGAAGAGGGACAAAATAGACAAAATCCCAGCTCTTTGAGAATGTCATCCTGGCAACAGAGACAGATTGTGAACGAGAAAATAAAGAAGCCAGGAGATGATAAGAGAATGCTGTAGTGGGTAACACTTGGTTATCTGAGTCCAGCATGGCAGGGCCACCGAGGAAGGGGCTGATGTCAAAAGGAGCAGCAGGAATGTTTCTTGCCGGATCCCTCGGGGTGTGGGTGTTGTCACCCTCTCCCAACTTCAGTACTGGGGCCTTGAACCCAGGCATTCTGAGCCACACCCCTGGCCCTTTTTCATTTTCTTTCTTTCTTTTTTTGGGGGTTAAGTAGGATTGAACTCAGGACCTTGCACTTGCAAGGCAGGTGTGGTGCGTTGAGCTAAATCCCCAGCCCTTTAGTTTTCATTTTGAGTCAGGGCTGGCCTGGAACTTCCGATCCTCCTGCTTCAGCCTCCCAAGTAACTGAGATTACAGGTGTATGCTGCTGTGCCCGGCTTGTTACTGTTACCTGAGCTGTTGGAGGATGTGAAAGGGTACAAAGGCGTTCGGCAGAGTCTTTGCCTGCTGTAGGGCTGGTGCTGCTGCTCAGTGGTTAGCGCTTGCCTAGCACACACGAGGCCTGGGTTCCAACCCTAGCATCACACACGTGCACACGCACACACACGCGCACACACACACACACACACACCCCCCAAAACAAAACCTCAGACAGACAGACTTCAGGAAGCTGCTAGGACAATACTGAAGCAATATTTCCATGATCGTATTTTATCTTAGCCAGGCATGGTGGTGCACGCACCTGTTATCCCAGCACTCAGGAGGCTTAGGCAGGAGGATTGCCAAGAGTTCCAGGCCAGCTTGGGCTACTTACTGAGTTCCAGGCAGGCCTGGACTACATAGCAAGACCCTGTCTCAACATACAAACAAACAAAAAGGCATGATACTTGCATGAAATCTACTTACGTCCTCTCATATCCCTGAAATCACTTTTAGGTGACATAAAATATACAACATGATGTAAGTACTAGGTAGGTAGCTGTGTTCTGTATTATCTGGGTAATAATGACAGAAGAAAAGAATCCTGTAGCTGTTTACTATAGATGCAGGGCTTTTGTATTTTGGGTTTATATTTTGGAGCATTTTCTTTTGTACTGGGGATTGAATTCGGAACCTTGTACTTGTGAGGCGGGCAGCGGAACCACTGAGCTAAACCCCTGGCCCTATTTTTTTAAGTTTTAAGACAGTGTCTTAGGCCAGGTGTGGTGGCTCATGCCTGTAATCCCAGCACTCGGGAGGCTGAGGCAGGAGGATCGCTGTGAGTTCAAGACCAGCCTGGACTACATAGTGAGTTCCAGGTCAGTGTCAACTACATAGTGAGACCCTGTCTCAAAAACAAAAAAGAAAAACAGCAACAACAACAAAAAGACAGTGTCTTGCTATGTCATCCAGGCTGGCCTCAAACTCACAGCGATCCTCCTGCCTCATCCTCCCCAGTTCTGGATGACAGATGCACACCTCCATGCCCGGCCAGATGCAGTTTTTGGTTTGAATGCCCTTGACTGCTGCCAGCTGTTGAATTTGCAGATGTGGGGCATGTGGAGGGGGTGGTGACACCGCAAGTGACTGTGGAGACCAAGGGTGTATTACCCCCCACGCGTTGTGGCCCTCACCAGGCTGAACAGTGACACCTGTGACGTTAGAGCGTCAGCCTTCTGCGCAGGTTCTGCCTTCGGCTTCCGCCGGAAGTTTGTGTCGCACTGACACACTGTTGGAATCGTCCTGCATAGTGAACTGGGACTCAGGCACTGGTGGGACCCAGGGGAAAGACTCCGGGGTTGGACTGGTGGTCGCTGGCTAACCCAGGAGCCATTGCCAGCCTTGGGGACACTGTCACCCACCTGAGGCGTTCTCCCCGATGTGCCTGGGGAATAGGGGTGTCGTCCCTCCAGAGCTGCCTGTGTGATCTCATTGTGTCCACAGGCCACCGCCCTGGCTGGATGGTGTCCCTGGAGCAGTGTCTGCCGTGACTGGGACGGTCACATTTGGGGAAGGGGTCTGCAGTGTGAGTGTGTGAAGAGTCTCCGGGTGACGCTGTGTCCCCTGAGGGGAAGCGGGGACCCCCCCAAATGAAAGAGGCGTGGGAAGACCCTCCAGAGGGAGCCTCAGGAGGGTGCCTGGCTGGCGCTGCTTGATTTTGAACTCCAGGCCTCCTGGACTGGGAGAGAATCAATTTCTCTTGTCTTTATTTATTTATTTTTAGTTATTATTATTTTTTTGGTACCCGAGATTGAACTCGGGTCCTTGTGCTTGCAAGGCAGGCCACCGAACTGCTGAGCTGAACTCCTGGCCCATTTTCTCTTGTCTTTAAGCTGAAGCGGCCCCCCAGCATCCCAGATAGGGAACCCAAGGTGACACCAGGTCTGTGGGTCGCCTGTTGGTCGTCTTGGGGGTGGTCTTCTGGGCCGCGGGCCTCTCCAGCATCCACCAGAGGGCAGCACCACGCAGGCATTGGGCAGCCCTGCGCTCAGGCCACTCTGGCCTGCACTGAACAGCAGGGGAGGGGCCGATGCCTTGGGGCCTCTGGCTGCAGTCCCCACCCCATGGCCACCAGCCAGCCGCCAGAGAAGGGACTGCAGCCTGGGGTGGTGCAGACACTCGGGAAAGGCTGGGGACGCTTCAGCCGCATGGGCCCTGCGGCCTGTCGTGGCGGTGTCCGCGTCACACCCCTGGCCTGCCCTGGCAGGGAGCACGCGAGGTCTGTGTCTGTCCCGGGCAGGGCCTCTGCTGAGCTGCTCGCCAAGGCAGTCACGTGACAGGGGAAGGCTGGGCCGCTCTCGTCTCAGGGCCTGTGCTCGGGTGCAGGGAGAGTGGCAGGTGCCTGTCACCCCGAGTGTAGGTGCTGGCTCACTGCCTGCCCTTTTCCTGTGTTCCCGCGGTGCCCCTGCTGTGCTCTTTGCAGTAGTGCGGGCTGAACCCAGGGCCTCGGCTCTAAGCCGTATCCCCCGGCCCTTTGTGCTCTTTTGTTTTGAGATGGGGTCCTGCGAAGTTGCCCGGACTGGGCCCAGAGTTGCCGTCTGAGAGCTGACGTTGCCTTCCTTCTTTCAGAGGCAGACTCCAGGCTCGAATTCTCTGGCCCTGGGGGAACCCAGCTTTCCTTTTGTTTCACATGCGATTCCTGCAGCATGAAGTCAGGGGAAGCCGTGCCAACTTGGAACGTCCCTTAGTCCTGGCCTGGCTTTGCTTATTGCCCTTGTTCTCACCCTCTGGTGTTGCACATGGGGCAGCTGAAGCCGGCCTTTGCCCCTCTGGGCATTGCACTGCACTGTATCTTCTCAGAGATGCCACGCGCCAGCGTTTGTCTCTGTTTCACTGAGGGCGGTTTGGGGACCCCGGGCTGGAGATCACTGTTGGTGTCCACCGTTGAGAGACATTGAGGCTCATTTATTTAGAAGTCCACGTTCCAACTGGTGGCACCAGAACCTGGACAGAGCTGCTGGGACTCAGTGGCGTCCACCTGAGCCCCTGGGGCCAGGTCTCCTTGGCCTGTGGGGAGGACAGGAAGAACGTGACGGGCTGCGTGACCACTCTGTGCCTGAGCTGCATCTTGACCTGCCTGTGTCCCCACAGCTGTCCAGCGCAGAGAAGGAGGTAGAAAGGGACGTCTTCCTGTACAGAGCATACCTGGCGCAGGTGAGCGTGGGCGGGGCCGGGGGGACCAGTGTGTGGGAAGGTGCCTCTGAGCTGGAGGCGAGGATGCCGGACAGCCAGGCTCCACATGCAGGCCTGCCCAGCCTCGAGCCAGGGACGTGGCCCACAGGTAGGCGCCCGGCCTCTGGCAGCCAGATGTGAGGACCCGTTGGAGGTTGGACCCTGGCTGTGTAGGGTCTGGCTGTGTGGCCTGGGCTGGTCTCCAGCTCAGAAGCCTCCCGCTTCAGCCTGCTGGGATGATAGACTGAGCCGGCAGACTCAGCTTGATGTTTTTCGTGTGTGTGTGTGTGTGTGTGTATCCTTGTGCATGTGTGGCTGGATATGTCAGTGCACACCTCTAGTCCCAGCTACTCGGTGTGCTGAGGCAGGAGGATCTCAAGTCAGAGACCAGCATGGACATTTTATTCAGACCTTGCCTCAGAATAAGGTGAACCTGTCTGGGGAAGTAGCAGAGCACTCCTCGGGTTCCATTCTCCGTGCTGAAACAAAAACAAAACTGCTGAGAATGGGAGCCGCTGGGCAGGTGGCTGCCAGGGTCACTTGGTGAGCAGGAGCAGGGCTGTCACATGGTGAGGGGGCCTCGTGCTGCGGCCCCATCCCTGGTGGCTGATGCTGCCCTGCCCCGGGTGGTGCCCACCCTCACTGACCCCTTGGCACCAGGGGAGGGCAGCTGGGATAGGACAGGGACTTCTGGCTCATGCAATGGGCACACGGTTGACAGGCGAGGGCACTGCAGTGAGCGTCACCAAGGCTGGGGTGAGGGGTCCCTGAGCCAGGCAGGGCAGGCTTTCTCCAAGGAGCCTCACCAGGATGACACTGGTTGCTGCACCCAGGATGTAGAACTCTTCCTGGGGTTTCTTCTCAGGAGACTGAGGCAGGAGGGTCTCAAGTTTGAGGCCACCCTGGGCAACTAGAGAGGCTCTCCAGAGTCAGCCCTCATTGAGGGTGGGCAGGCGCTGACTGTGCATCCCCCACAGAGGAAGTACGGCGTGGTGCTGGATGAGATCAGGCAGTCCTCGGCCCCGGAGCTCCAGGCCGTGCGCATGTTCGCAGAGTACCTGGCCGACGAGGGCCGCAGGTGAGGCTTTGTGGCCGGCTCTGAGGCCTTCGTGAGCCCTCGCCACCCTGTGCCGATTTCCCCGCCTGCACAATCTACGTTTGTGTACACGGCCTTGGTTTCTGACCCTGCAGAAGTGGCGTGTGTCAGTGTGCTCAGGGAACGGGCAGAGACAGACGCGGCAGGCCCTTGCTCAGCGCCCCGCATGGCCAGCGGGCCTGCCTGACCCTCACCAAGGCTGCAGCGGGTCCCTCGTGTGTGGGGAGTGGGCAGGGGGGCAGGGCCAGGCTGCAGTGTCAAGTCTGAGAAGCGCTGGCCGGAGGCGCCCGGCCTCTGAAGGAGCAGCGTCCGAGTGGGCCCTGAGCGGCCGTGTCTCGCAGGGATGCCATCGTGGCCGAGCTGGACCGGGAGATGAGCAGGAGCGTGGACGTGGCCAACACCACCTTCCTGATCATGGCCGCATCTGTCTACTTCCTGGACCAGAACCTGGATGCGGCCCTGCGCACCCTGCACCAGGGCGACAGCCTGGAGTGGTGAGTGCCACCCGCGCTCCGGCGCTTTCCGTGTGTGCAGGCTGCTCCTGACCTCCTGCGCTTGAGCAGTCCTCCTGCCTCAGCCTCCCCAGCAGCTGGACTGCAAGTATGCGCCATCGGGGTGCTCAGTGCACTTCCTGCTGCCGTGACTAACACCAGGCAGGGAAATGGGTGGTGAACACAAACAGGGATCAGAGAGAGCTTGGACTGGGTCACAGCCAGAGAGGACAGGGCCCGGCCAGCTCAGCCTTCCTGAGAGGTCAGAGGTCCGACTCCCGCAGAAGCTGCCTTTCCCTCCGGGGCAGAGCCTTCAGGCTCCTCACTGGTTTTGGTTGGTTGGTTTGTTTTTGGTACTGGGGATTGAACCCAGGTCCTTGCGCTTGGGAGGCAGGCGGTGGAACCACTGAGCTAAATCCCCAGCGTGTTTGGGTTTTTTTGAGGCAGGGTCTTGCATACCCCAGAGTAGCCTTGAACTTGTGATCCTCATTCTCAGCCTTTTGAGTGCTGGGATAATAGGCGTCCACCACCACGCCCAGCCTCCTTGCCTTAGAGGGCCTGTCCCCCTGGTCTGTTAGCATGTAATCTAGCTACTCGGGAGGCTGAGGCAGGAGTATTGCAAGTTTGAGGCCAGCCTGGGCCAGATAGACCCTGCCTCAAAATAAAAGGGGCAGGGCCTGGGATTTAGCTCAGTGGTTCTGCCGCCTGCCTTGCAAGTGCAAGGACCAGAGCTTAATCCCTGGTACCACAAATATAAATAAATAAATAAATAAATAAATAAATAAATAAATAAATAGAACTAAAGTGGGCAGCAGTTGTAGTTTAGGGATAGGGTACTCTAGCCCTGCTGAAATCAAGACCAAAAAAGAATAAGACAAACTTGGACAGGAGCTGTGGAAGGGCCTTGAGGGATGGCGGGGCGGTGCACCTCCAGGCTGTTGTCACGGGAGCCATGAATGGGCCTGGCCCTGCAGGCTGGGTGTGTGTCATGCCTGGACATTCCTGTCTGCATGGCTGGACAGGACACAGTGGCCCACAGTTCCCAAGCACAGAGCAGAAAGCACCTTTGTCCCTGCTCCAAGTGTTACCCTTCTGCCCCCAGGTGGCCCCGCGTTCCCTGCTGTGGGCTGAGTCAGGCCTGGACTTTCTCACCAGTGCTGCAGGTACAGGAATAAGTAAATAAAAAGAAAGCCGGGCATGGTGGTGCACACCTGTCATCCCGGCACTTGGAAGGCTGAGGCAGGAGGATCACCATGAGTTCAGTCCCAGCCTGGGACTCAGTGAGCTCAAGGCCAGCCAGGATGGCATGGTGAGACCCTGTCTCAAAAACAAAAGCAAAAAGAAGTGAGCACAGGCCTCCGGGGTTAGCTGCTGACCCCTGGCCTGATCTGACCCCTGCGTGGCAGGAGACTCAGGGACAAGTAGCCCCTGAGTAATCCATGGTCCCAGCCACCTGGGGCAGGAAGGATGCCCTAGTATTCTGCATAGACACCCAGGTGCAAGGGAGTGTCCCCTCCTGTCCACGGGGCCACAGTGACCAGCTCCTGCCTGCCCACATGGCTGTGTGTCCTGTAGGCAGTGGCATGGTGGCCACAGGGCCTTGGAGGGAGCGGGAATGTTCTGGAAAGGGGAGCTGTGGCTGCCCGCTAACACTGCTGCCTGTCTGCAGCATGGCCATGACCGTGCAGACGCTGCTGAAGCTGGACCGCCTGGACTTGGCCCGGTGAGCCGTGGGGACCCCACGACCCCAGCCCCTGCCTGCCGAGCGCTCCTGTTTGACTCCCATCCCTCAGCCTGGGTCTCCTGTCCATGCCGGGCCCTGGCCGCTCAGCACCGTTCTGTCCCCAGGAAGGAGCTGAAGAGGATGCAGGACCAGGACGAGGATGCCACGCTCACTCAGCTGGCCACCGCCTGGGTCAACCTGGCCGTGGTGAGCCCTGCCGGCGTGGGCAGGGGTGGTGCAGGGCTCCTGGCTCCCCCGTGGACGGCCGCTCGGCTGTGGAAGTCAGCGCTGGCCGG